ACACACCTATAATATTTAAATGACAGAACTAAACAAAAAAGAGGATACAGATGAATGACCATTTTGTATCTGTGTATTCAAAATGGTTAGGCTAGATATATAGCTACATTCTCTTAATTCAAGGAATACAGGGATTTGTTCTAATAGTATGTGTAAATAGGATAAGATGTGTGCATCTTGTACAACAAATAACCACTAGGAAGGCAGTATGCAATGTGTTAATTATTGGAACTGTCCTACCAATTTGATTTGAAACTGTCTCATTGCTACTTATTTCACAATAAAATTATGGAGAATAAATAAATAAATGGTAGCTGGAAAACTGCATATCTACATGCAGCAGAATGAAATTAGACCCTTACTTCACATCATATTTACTGGTTAGCTCTCCCACTGCTGAGACAAAATACCTGACTCCCATAGTTTAAGACAGGAGCTCATCTGAGTTAACACTTTCATGGCTTCACTGCATGACTGGCTGGCTGTCAGTCAGGGACATCACAGCAGAAGCATACAATGGAAGATGACGCTCACTTCACCACAGAAGCAGAGCAGGTGGAAAGTTCCAGAGAAGACAATGCTACAGGCTCCAAGGCCACACCTCCCGTGCCTGCATTTCTTCTTCCTGGCCCTGCCTTCTCATGGCTGCTTCAGCTAGACGCCCGTCAACAGGTTACCCTATTCATGAGGTTAATCCCCTCTGAACCCCATTACCTTTCCAGGAGTCTCTGAATCCAGTCCAAATGACAATCAAGGATAACAGGCATACCAAATGGGAAAAAAAGGAAAATGAAGAAATAAAAAAGAAAGAAAAGAAATTGTAAAACTCTATTCACTGGTGTGGGAAATTAACTTTTTAAAAAATGTGATCCTCAAAGCACAAACAACAGAAAGCAAACATAGACTATTAGTATTGCATCAAACTAAAATCTTGAACAGCAAAGGAAACAACTAACAGATTGAAAAGACAATCTACATCATGGGAAAAAGTATTTGCAAATTATAGACTTGCAAAGTAGCAGCCAAATATATATACAAAACAATATTACTGAAACGACTCAATCACAAGAACATAACTTTAAAATGGGCAAAGAATCTGAATAGATAATTTTCAGAAGAATATGCACAAATTCAATAGTTTTTTTAAGAAAATTCTCCCTATCTCTAATCACTAGAGAAATGCAAATTAAAACAACACCTGAGATATCACCTCACCCTGGCAGAACAGCTATTAGCAAGAAGATGAAAGATAGTAAATGTTGGCAAGGATAAAGAAAAAGGTAAACTTTGTGCACAATTTATTATAGGAAAAATAAATTAGCATAGCCAGTTTAGAAAACAGTATGGAGGTTCCTCAAAAAAAAAAAAAAAAAAAAAAAAAAAAAAAAAAAAAAAAAAAAAAAAACTAGAAATAAAATTACCACACCATTCTGCGATCCCACTTGTGGGCACATCTCCAGAGGAATTAAAATCAATACGCTAAAGAGATCTCTGAACTCCCATGTTCATTTTAGCTTTATTCACAACAGCCAAAATATACCCCACAATCTGCCTAAATGTCTGTCAGTGGATAAATGGGTAAAAACATAGACATAATGGAACACCAGACTTAAAAAGAAGGAAATTCTGTCATTCATGACATGGATGGTACTGAAAGACATGATGCTACATGAAATAAGCCAGACACAGAAAGACATACTGTATAATCTTATTTATATCTACAATCTAAAAATGTTAATCTCATAGAAACATCTCATAGAAATGTATATACTGGAGGCTGGCAGGGAGCAGGAGGGACAGGGAAAGGGGACATGTTGACTAGCGGGTACAAAGGTTCAGGTAGGTTAAAGGAAGAACTTACAGTGACCTACTGTGCATTATTAATAATGTATTGTACCAGGCATGGTGGTACACAGCTAAAATTCCAAGTACTCAGGCTGAAGCAGGAAGATCACAAGTTTAAGATCAGTATAAGCAATGTGGTGAGATTCTGTCTCAAAAATTAAAAAATAAAAAAGGGCTGGGGTGTAGCTCAGAACTTCCTGGGTTCAATCTCCAGTACCACAAAATAATAATGATAAGAATGTACTGCACATTTCAAAATGCATATATAAAAGAATATATTTTAGCATTATTATGCAAAAAAAGATAGGTGCTGGAAAAGTTAGTTTGATTTGGCTTGAAACTGCCTCATTGCTATTTGTTTCTCAATAAAATTATGAGGAAAAAAAGAAAAGTTAGTTTGAGTCACTAACATATACATAGGAGAAAATTTACGTTATAGCCCATAAATATGATTATTATTCATCAATTTTAAATAAGTTTTTTTGGCCTAGAGTAGTGGTGTATACCTGTAATCCCTACACTTGGGAGAATGAGGCAGGAGTACTGCTGTGAGTTCAAGGCCAGCCTGGGCTGCATAAGTCAGTTCAAAACCAGCCTGAACTACACAATGAGTCCCTGTCTCAACAAAACATATATATTTTTTAAAAACTTAAATTCACCAATAACAAAAAAGAATGGCTAAAATCTAAAACATTAACATCAGCAAAGACAAGGGCATGGAACAAAAGGAATTCTTTCATCATTGGTAGGAAATGCCATGATATAGCCACTCTGAAGACAGCTTAAATCCTGTGATCACTTGAAGAATTACCCAGACCCCTAGCCCTAAGCACAAGCTCATCACACACCACAGAGCGTTCTCAGTACTGGCTGGGCTGCTAAGGGCAGTCCAGCACAGGGCCACTAAGTTCCAGAGTCTGAGTTGTCAGGCAGTTCTGAGGACTTTATCACACTCTACATTTATTTAATAATCATGGATGTATGATAATATAAACTAATTTTAAAAGGAGGAGATCTTTAAAAGCTGTCTTGAATAAATACCTGGAAGAATAAACGTGCTTTAGTTTCCATCTTTCTGTTTAGAGAGAATTTCTGCCCTTCAGGATTCAAAGCCTTTGATTAACAAATGGGAATGAGCAATAGCCCAAAAGGATTTCCTGTCAGAAAGAGGAAAACAGAGAGGAAAAAAATCATATGCTTGTTCAGGAGACTTAAGTAATTATTTTACCTACCTGAATTCATCACTTCGATGTAATATTCAAGGTATAATACCTAATAAATTTCACCCACACAAATATGTGGACAAAGGCTACAAAGAGCAGTTAGCAGATCATAAATCATAATCATTTAAAGATTTAACTTTGTATTTTGTGATTAAGGAACAGAGAAATGCAAGTGAACTGGCATTAAAAAAACAGAAAAATCCAATTATATTTATTTATTCAAGTGAGAACTAATAATCAGAACTGCTGAAACAGCAATCACTGTAGTACTGAATGCTATGATGTGCTAAACACTCCAACAGGAATTAATTCATTTACTCTTCATAGCTATCCTTAAAACTTGTCATCTTATTTTACAGATGAGGAAATTAAAGACTTAGAGATACAAAGTTCCCCAGATGACACAGCCAGCAGATATCAGAACCGGAACTGCAATTCCGACTCCGTAACTCCATAGTGCGTGGTCTTAGGCACTGTGCCACACGGCCTCTCAAAACAACACCACTGTAGACAAAAGATGTTTTAGCCTGGCTTTAACTTTCATACTATGTATATATAACCAACACTTTAGAAATTCCCATTTTTCACAGTGTTATTCATATCTGAGCCACATTTGATGATTTACTACACTGTTACATTATATTGCAATTCTAGTTGCAGCTAGGTTTCTTTTTCATATTATGAAGTATTAATACTGCATCTAACAGAGAAATGGTACCTTAAAATCATTTCTATTTCTGAAATATTACCTTTTCCTCCAAAAGCTACAACTCTTGTTACATAGGTCCTGCTTTCCCTTGGTCTTAACCACCCAGCAGAAAAATATAAAAACGAAGTATAAGTAAAGCATGCTGTTATGTTGAGCTTTAGGGGACTCAGGTCAACAATTTCTGACACTGCCAGTCAAGCGGAAGATCCAATACTATTATGGGCTACTGGACTCTTTTAGAGTATTTTGCTGAGTTTACACACCTATCATATTTAAATGATGGAACTTAACAAAAAAAGGGAATACAGATGAATGTCCATTTTGTATCTGTGTTCAAAGTGCTTAGGATAGATATATAGTTACATTCTCTTAATGAATAGAGGGATTTGTTCTAATGGTGTTGGTAAATAGGATATCAAGTCTGCATCTTGCACAGCAATTAACCACTAGGAAGAATGTATGCAATGTGTTAATTATTGAAACTGTCCTACCAATTTGGTTTGAAACTGTCTCATTGCTATTTCTCAATAAAATTATGGAAAAAAAATAAAGTAGACCATATACTAGCCCACAAAAAAAGAGAAAAAGAAAAACAAAAGACACACAAATTTAATATGCAAATATTAAGCATTTCTTCAAAGGAAAATTATTTCTGCTTGGAAGAAATAAATAAACTATTTGGAACGTAAAAAAAATAGACAAGATAGCACGTCTGCATCTTGTACTATGAATAACTACTACAAAGACAACAATATGCAATGTATCAATTATTGTAAGTATTCTATTGACCTGTTTTGAAACTGTCTGATTCCTACTTCTTTCCCAATAGAATTAATATCAGAAAAAAATAAAAATAAATAAAAAATAAAATAAAATTGCCTGAAATATTACCTTTTCCTTGAACCCGAAATGTTAAAATAGAAAAGTCACACCAATTCCCCTAACAAGATATTAGAAATCTATGCAGATTCCCCTAGAGCTCACTATGTACAACTTCTTCTAGATCTTCTCTAACCAGTTCAATTTTTACTTCTAAACCACTTATCATCACACATACTATCACTATTCTTATGGTCTTTACCATTCAACTTATATTAAGCACTTGTATTTAACTATAGCTCTTCTATCAATGACTTTTTCTTTTAAAAAACTGGGACTTGTAATTTATTTTTGGAATTATATTTACAGCACCAAACATAGTTGTATATACAGGCAATAAATGAAAAAAGAAAAGGAGATGAAGGGAATTAATATATGTGAATTCTCCAATCATTGGTCCTTTCATCCTTCTATACATGAATTAAACATAACTTTACTGCATCCTCACTATACACTAGGCTCTTTTCCAGGGCCTGGGAATAGAGCAGCATACAAAAGGGTGGGGGAAGGCAGTGCCCTCAGAAAGATTTTATATTCTAGTCTGAGAATGGAGAAAAAGATAAAATATATTGAATGCTGTCATAACTACCATGAGAAAAGGGGAGGTGGAAATCTGCAATGTGGTATAGAGAAATAAATGCAGGGAATATAAAGCATGTCAAAGGAACACTCAACTGAGAGACTGCTGAATACAGACCTTCCACCATTGAAGTAAGGAGTAAATGAATATCAGTGAGCTTCAGCCAAAAGTTCAGGTGCAAAGCCCCTGATTTTCAAGATGGAGCCTGGATGTTCAAAGAGCAGGAGAAGGCACAGGAAGTAAAGGAGAGAGAGCAAGGAAAAGGGCAGAGGAGGAAGGGAGATCTGAGAGGTTAAGCAAAGAAGGAAGATGACACAGGGCCCCTAGACAATAATAATTTTGGCTTGCATTCTCAAGGAGTGGAAAGCATTGAGTTCTAGTGAGCTGAAGTTCTACTGAAAGAAGCAATCTAGTTACTGTGAGATGGAAAATCAGGTGGGTCTATACCTTGGATGCCTAGTGAAGAAAGAACTTCAATGAGAGTACTCAACAGTAGGAAGAGCAGCCTCGATAAAAACAAGTACCGGGGCTGGTGAGATGGCTCAGTGGTCTAAAGCACCTACTTAGAACAAGCTTAGCAAAGCACAGGGACCACAGTTCAATCCCCCAGCACCACATGCCAGCCAGCCCCACCCCCTGGTGGGCTAAGCTGGCCACACACACACACACACACACACACACACAAATAAATAAATAAATAAAATAAAATAAAAAACAAGTACCCAGGCGACTAGCCCATGAATGCCCCGGCTCCTAGAAGAGGTCTTGCTTTGCTGCCAAAGCTGGTTTAGAATTCTAGGGCTTTTGGCCTCCCAACTCAGCCTCCCTAGCACCGTGGAGCTCGTGGGCACCTCTAAGCAATCTGACACACTTTTGACATCATGGATCGGTTTGGAGATACATGAGATAGTAAAGTGGACCATTCTTTTTTTTTTTTTTTTTTTTATAGTGCCTTTGAAGAAGCAAAGAAATGTGAAAACAACTTAGTTTTTGACAAGCAAAATGATGACCCTAAAGAGAGAATAGATAAGGATATAGAAAAGGTGAACTTGGCATTTGGGATACAAAAAAAGGAAAATGACCTTACTGACAAAGGAAAGAAATGCGAAAATCTTTCTAGAGGAATACCTGTAGAGAACGATATAGAAACCAGAAGTTCTTTATCATTGACCAGTTCAAGATCACAAGAACTGTGTGGTGCTACAACAGGATATAAAATCCACTTACCCGCTCCAAACAGAATTCCAAAAACTGTAAAATGTGAGGATGACTACTACACAGATGGGGAAGAGAGTACTGATGATGGAAAAAAGCATCATGTGAGGTCAAGTCAGCAAAGCCATCTCATAACTTTTAAAAAGCATGAATAAGCGCTTCCCTGGCAAGCGCAAAGGCCTGAGTTCAATCCCTGTTTCTACCAATAAACAAATAAAGCATTAATAAAAACTTTTCCAAACTTGGTTCCTCCTCCTCCTCTTCCTTGTCTTCCTCATCTTCAAGTTTAGATGCAGACTGTTCAGATGCAGTACCTGATATCTCTAAATCTCGTTCACGTCCATCATCAAGGAAACACATGATAACCCTCTTATCACCAAAACAAAAATATAAATCAGGAACACAACCTTCACCATGAAGGCAAAGATTGCTGGTTCTACCAAGGAATCTGAAGACGCTGTTTCAGATGTGAGTCCTTTATCAGCTGCAGACATCAGCCCTGTACAGTCTTTCAAACTATGTACTTCAAATGACCAAAAAGTAAGAGTTAACAAAAAAAAAAAGATACAAAGGAAAGATCATTTTGTATTTATATATACAAAATCGTTAGGATAAATTTACAGCTACTTTTGCTTAATTCAATGAGAAGAAAGAGGTGTACTAACAGTGTTTGGACAGAATATCCTGTCTGCTTCTTGTACTGTAAATAACCACTAAGAAGATAACAATGTACAGTATACTGATTATCAAAACTGTCCTATTAATCAGCTGTGAAACTCTCTCATTCATATTTATTTCTCAATAAAAATAAGAGTTAAAAGGCAAGAAAATGTGAGTCAAGTACATGAAGATATTGAGGTTTTAAAAAATGATTCAAACTGCTTGAAGCAGCCAAGAAAGAAAAGAAAAAGCATGGGTGTAGTCTCATTCTAAAGTCACCAGTATTAGATTCCAATTCTGACCATAAGCATAAGCAAAAAATTTTACACAACATAACGGACCTGAAACATCTTTTAAAAGCTTTTCTGCAATTAGATAAAAAGCCACAGAAATATCACCTTGATCAGCCTTCAGCAGTACCTAGGGAAAACTACTCTTTCACAAGAGAAGAGGTGAGACAGATTGATCAGAAAATCAGATGCTTTTGAAAGAACTCTCAAGACAGGCTGAAAAACCAGGAAACAAAAGTACAATGCCCAAAAGATCAAGTGGCCATCCACCTAAGTTGTATCACGGTGATCTTAATGGATAGCGGGAGCAACAAAGAATTGAAAGAGAAAATGTGGTTTTATTGAAAAGGTTTGAAGCTGTGAAGCCCACAGTTGGTCTGAAACGCTCAGAGCAGCTGATGGATTATCATCGCAGTATGGGTTATCTCAACCCAGCTCCTTCTTCCAGAAGAGGAAGACCTACGCTTGGCCCATCAAGAGGAGCTTCCAAGGCATCCAGTGCTACCAGTGGCCTCCGCTGTAAGCCTGAGCCACCAGGTTTCAACACATCTAACAACCTGTTGCTGAGACCTAAACCTCCCAGTGTCTGTGCTGCTTGGTT